TATTCCCTTGTGGCATTCTTGACATGCTGGGTGAGGTTATGACATTGAGCAAGTTCACTTAGACAGGATACCACAGGTGACGTTGGAAGAACCACCTCTTCTTGGCAAAATTCTGGAAGATTGAAATCACCCATAATCACAGTATGTTTATCGCATGATATCAAGTCACTGAGCGCTTTGATAAGCAAGTCCGAATTTGCTCTAGAGCATGAAGGAGTTCTGTAGATTGCTATCATTCTGAAGTTGTAGTCTTCATCGAATACATCCACACAGAGCACTTCAAAAGAGTCTTCAACAGATTCAGCAAACACTAAACACAACGAAAGCCTGCGCTGAGCAATAAAGATGACCCCACCTCCAGGTTTTTTTGGCCGATCACATCTAATAATGTCATAGTTATCAGTTATCGTACCCAGAATAGAGGTCAATGTGTGATTAGGTTTCAACCAAGTCTCTGAGAAGGCGTATATATCATAATGTTGAGTCAGCAATATGCGTAAAAAGTCTGAGTTTTTAGAGACTGATCGGATGTTACAATAGAAAAACCTCAATGAGCGAACGTACCGAGGAAAACGTCTCAGTTTCCCTCGATATTTTCGGAGCGATTGGTCGCATCTCTAGGGTAGATGGTGACATCTTGACTGTTATTGTAGGTTGACGTACCATCTCGATTCCTAGTTATGCGATTACGCTCTTCTCGCCTTTGTTGCCTCTGTTCTAAAGTTAGGGATTCTCGTATGTAGACTCCCTTTCCAGAAAAATGACGCAGTCGTGGTGCTCTCTTTAAAATCAACCTTTGAAAAACACGAGAGGGTAACACTACTTTTAACAGTCTATTTTTTCCTACTAGAGGTCTTCCTAAACGATACACTGTCATTGGGTTACACTCAACGTTCAAGAAATCAAGTATATTACACACACTTGCGAAATCATAAGATAGGCGTTCTCTAGAATTTTCAGATTTCAGCTCAGGCACACCACTAATAACTACAGAACGAAGCCTCTCAACTTCATGGTATGGTAATTCCTCTCGTACGGGAGGAACATGACCAGAAGTCGCTGGCCTCTGAACTTCAGATACGCTGTTATTATGGCTATTGGAAATCGACATTTCACGGGGCATTGTGTTGCGAATATTCTCCAACTCTTGCCTGAGCCCTTGGTTTTCAAGGCGAAGAGACTGTAATTCTTGAGTGATAGCGTTGATTACTTTCTTGATGCCCTCCGTGACTCGACTCGATTTCGTGATCTCCTCGACTTGTTTCTGGAGTTCTTTTGGGAGCACCATTTCCATCGGTTTGCTGCCATTTTGCTGGCCTTTTCCACCTTGCGTTTTGCTGCTTCGAAGATCCATAGCAAAATAGTAGCAGATAAGAGCAAAAGTTGGATCGTCAAATATAGCAGCTTTCTCTCTGTATTACTCTGTATATCATGTATTACTAAGGAAGCCATTGGGTCTAAATACAAATCACAGTGATCAATAACTGAACAGCGTACTGCCCCAGGACCACATCGAAAATCAATATGGAGACGAACGCGATTGAGAGTTTTGCTGCCTTTTATCGACTAGACGACCTGACCTATCTGATCCCACATGCCACCGAAATCTTTTCATACTGACAATCAGTGGACAGTGCTCCTTCCAAACTTTTCGCAGAGAGGTAAGTCATCGTTGCCCTTTGTTTCTTTAGTCTCTTTTGTCACGGGATAAGCATTTAGTAAGTAGTATTGCGGGGTCAAGTGTTCTTGATCGTAACTCACGACGGCGGGTAGAGTGGTGCGAAAACGGGAGAGAATGGGTGCTTGGTTGATCTGTAGCTGTGTGGAGGCCCAACGTTTCTCACTCTCTCGCTTCTTTATTTGTAGCTCGACCGTGGATCTTCATTTCCTAATTGGGCTCTATACAAGTGGGGTGGGCACACCCAGCTTTTCACGCATGTCAAGTGACTGCCCTCACCCCCCCTAGATTGGCTACACTCCCCCTGGCTCACGAATTCCCCGATTCTCGTGACAGTATAGTAGCGGGCAGCAGTCCCACTTACATACATTTCTGTTCAAAAAATGCGGCGTGCCCACCCTACTTGTATAGCACCCCTGATTATTGATGGATGACTTCCGAAAATCGGCATGTCGTAGCCTTCTCACCCTAAATTCTCGCCACACCTGACTCGACAATTTCATTACTACCGGTACTAAGTGAGACCGGGGAGAGGGTGAAAAGGGCGACGCTGATATATGTGTGGAAAGAATTTCAGAGGAAGTAGTATTGATAGTCCCGCGAAGATTCTCTCATTCCCCAAGGCTAAGCTCAGAGGAGGTAGTCGGGGTGGTTCTTCAAAGTTCTTTCTACAATACTGCACGGGCAGCAGCCTGCACTTCTATTGTTTTTATCGCCTTGCCTGCTTCGCTTACCTTTTGATGGCTTTTCCGAAGCATTCCCTCCTAGATCTATTGATTGAAAGGAGGACAGGCCGGTTGGCCTTCGGTGGCTACGTGCAAGGATTTTATGGCGTCCATAGCTGCCCTTCTCAAGGTGGTAGTGTGAAGAATGGTTTCTTCGTTCTCAATGTTTAAAGTTCCCCTTCAGAGCCCGACATCAATCGCAGTCCTTGAGAGAGAAGGATGCTGCAAGCACCTAGCAAATGGCTCCGTTCGATCAGCTTGGCCCGTTCCTGTGCCGGCCGGAACCGCTCCAGCTTTCTCTAATCCAGCTTCAGCTGCAACAACGACACCTTTAGTTTCTGCAATCTGCACATCTACGCATCCATCGTAGGGTTTCCTTTGTAACGCTTACCTTTTGCTTTCCTATCATTATAATCTCGTTTTATTGGGATTCAAGCCACTTTTTTCTTGATGACTCCCAATAAATTTCACGAGCATGTCCAAAATGCCCGGTTTCTATCTCTAGGCACTTCGGAGGACTTCTTGCTGCTAACAGTCACCTATCAGCACTCATCTGTTCGTCAATACAATCAGCGGTTTATGCATGGTGACGCTTACTGACAGCCTATAACGTGCAATTTCATGTGAACTGTGTTCGGTCATTGGTGCTGTGTTATTCGGGAAGTTCCGCCGATTTCCGATTTGCCGGAACTCCTGAGAAAGTAGGTCTTTGGAACTTAGAGTGAGGCAGGAAATTAGTTTTCCTGGGAGAATTTTTCCTTTTACTTCTACTCGGAAACTGGCCAAGCGTCATCAACTATACATCGACTGAGATAGTTTCGACTAAATGGCTCCTCTGTAGAGACGTTGCACCCAAGCTGTGGGCGCTTCTAACACATTGACTGCCTCAGCTCTGAAGAAGACATTCGAAAATGAGCTTCGGAGAATAGAAGACAAATACTGTAGTGGAAAGAATGCCAGTCAATCAGATTAATTTCTACTAGCATACGAGACTTACTTATGACTTTCAAAGCTAAAAAAATCCAATCAACGCGGCGATGAATTATTAGGATAATTGGACTGCGTTTAATGTGTGTAGACTTAGAATTACAGCACAAATACTTGTGATTAATAATCGAGAATTGTGCATACCCTCCAGTTAAGAAGTAATGCACCGTAAACTAGCAATTCGGCTGGCACAGGAAAGGACGCATCCCCTAAACTACACCATTTCAGTCGGGAGCCGTCGCAAATCCAACATTAGCTTTGGAGGGGTTAGAAGGTAGCTCGGCCATGGAAAAACAATCGACAAAAACAATCGGTCGTAAGTGGTAGATCGTTTATTCAGCCTTCAACAATGCTTTCACAAGAAGAAATTACTGCGTTGATAAGGAAGCCATTAGCCCATAGGACGGCTACGAGACATGGAAAAGTGTCCAACTATAATATTTGTCGATTTGTTTGTTTCTTTCGCGAGGGCTTCGACCCGCGCCACCATCAATCTCAGGATGTTACCCCAATACGCTCAATTCGGCCACACCCTCCGCACCACCTTCACCATCATGGCTGTTTCTACAGTACTGGTTCTGAATTTGGTCGACGCAGCCGCCTGACTCCACCAACGTTTTTCTTCGATATGAGCGTCTAGAGGAGAAGGGTAGGGGGAGAGGGAGAAGAGTCGAGGTCGAAGAACGAGAAATTTACCTGATGGACAGACAGGTTGACTTCCGACGGTGTGGACCGACACGCAATTGATATTTGATCACAATAATTCGATGAAGATGAGTGGACTTTGAACCCACGGGTCACCTTACACCCTCTCTAGTCATCGCTCACCGGCTACCGCGTGTGGTGTGCGCATCGCTTATTTTTCCACATAGTATGTCATAACCCTTACATATTTATTTTTCTTTGGGCCGCTACGTTGATGTTCAGCTACACTGTGCGTATCACGTTATCACCATGATATTTCTCACCGTTCTCTTCTGAGCACTGGACAAGTCCCAGATACCGTTTCTAGCCGACTGTTGTTGATTTTGAAGGGAAGCGCAACCTGTCACCACACCTAAACGATTTTTTTCCTCTTTCGTAGCTGATCTAGGGAAATGTTTGAGATGGAATGTTTCTTGGGAAAAGTCTAAAGCTGTTTATTTCTCTTTTTTACCCTCTTTGTGAAAACGCTATCAGGTGAAATTCGGTAGACTTTTTGATGTTCTTGGTGCATTACGTCTAACGGCTAACAAATTTGAATGCTGTCTTATACTCCGGATTTATTGTGGACATTTTTCAGTCGTCGATTCTTTGACTATCTGCTCCGGAGCTTGCTCTCACTCACACCCTATGTCAGGTCAGGGATTCAATTTTTGATTTTTGTGCAGCGATTTGAACATGTTGAATCTTGAAATGAATTATTTCCAGGTGTGTGATGAATTTGCGGATCGTTCGACCTGGTTTCAGCGGTCCACGGGACGAAGCAGCAAAGACCGCAGGTGCGGAAGTCGTTTTTGTCGCTTGATCATCTATACCCTTTCAGGTGTGCTCTTTCAGGTCCACAATGGCGATCACGATCCAAGTGCGTTCGGAAAGCTTCTTCAATGCCGACTCGGACGCTCAGTTTCTTCCAGCTCCGTCCGTCTGCGTCTGTAGAATCCTGGTCTTCCGCTTGCAAGTGAGTGTCAGTTCGCGTCTGTGCTTGTCGGTTCCTCCGTCCATGTCCATCCAACTCCTTGTGTACCTGACCGTTCGTGTGCCCTTCTATCCGCGTCTGTCTGCGCTTATCCGGCTGGGAATGCTCAATGTGGCTCGGGGGGGGGGGGAAGGGAGGGGCAGTCCGCATGACGTAGTTGAAACTCAAACATTTCAACTTCTTACGCATGTCAAGTGACTGCCGTCCCCTACTCCTCCCCCTAGGCTGACTACACTCTCCTGGGTCACGGATTTCTCGCTCCGCACTGAGATTAGTGAACATGCCACGCCCCGCAGCGACGACTGCCCCCCGGAGCCACATTGCGCCTCCGCGTTTGGTGGTTGTGGTTTCCATCGTGTGCGCCCACCTGTCTACCCGTCGGTCTATCCGTGTCCATCTGCTCGTATGTGCCCGCAGGGTCAACCGTTCCGTTGGTACTTTTTGGAGATTTTTACGATCCCCCTTTTCTTTGATCTTGATACGCCCCCCCCCTCCCTTGTGAACGTGTATGTACAGTCGATATCTCGAAGTCTGATTGGGCGTGTCACCGGAAATGACGTGGCAGCCACCGCACTTGATAGAAGTTGCGCGGATAAGCTGCTTCCAACACGCTTTGCTGATATCTGGCGGAGTATTTTATCCACACACATCTATCAAGTGCGGTGGCTGCCACGTCATTTCCGGTGACACGCCCAATCAGACTTCGAGATATCGACTGTACGTAGAGAAACAACATTACATATGGACGGAGGAGATCCTCCGGGGCGCGTGATGTAGTTCCCCTTTCCCCGATGTTCCCGGCCCCAATCAAATAAAATCTCAATGGAATTTGCACCTCCTTCTTTCGAGGGTTCTGAGTTCATATTCGAGGTTGCGCGACTAGGTAAGGCTTAGGAAATTCAAATCCTACTTTCTCCAAGAATCGCTGGATAATACTTGAAAGTTCATTAAATAAAAAATTAGTACGGTGTAATTTTTTTCCGTGCATATGTGATTTCAAACCATAACAACTATATTCAACTCTATCTTCGAAAGCTGAAGCCAGCATGAAAATCTCCAAGGTTCCTGCTCTCTAAAAAGTGCTGAAAATTATTTGAAAATTCTCCGATTCGAAAATTAGTCTCGTTCGGACTTTTTTGGGGAGTTTTAGTAAAATGTTTAGGAACCGCGAATTTTCAACCTTCAAATGACCACCACTTTCTTCATACTCATTAATTTTGGAAGCTGAAGCCAGTATGACAAGCTTAAAAGTACAAATCTTCTAAAAAAGCTAAAAATTATTCAAAAATCACCGATTTAAAAATTAGTCACGTTGGGACCTTTTCTGGAAAGTCACTCTGTAAGCCATTATCTCAGAAACGCAGTTTTTTGAGATCGAAATAGTCCTAACTTCTCTAAAACGATTTCATGTAAAACTTTGGGTGCTATACAACTAGGGTGGGCACGCCGCATTTTCCAATAGAAATGTATGTAAGTGGGACTGCTGCCCGCTACTATACTGTCACGAGAATCGGGGAATTCGTGAGCCAGGGGGAGTAGCCAATCTAGGGGTGGGGGGTGAGGGCAGTCACTTGACATGCGTGAAAAGCTGGGTGTGCCCACCGCACTTGTACAGAGCCAAACTTCGAGTGTGTTGGAAAACTACGAGTATGCGCTTTTGAAAATTCACTCAAGCGTTTGTGGAAATCCGTTTCTCCAGAAATTCTTTTGTAAAAATTTTCTTTTTCTCGGGGAGTCCATCCTTCAATCTACTGCAATTTGCTCCCTTTCATTCACACCAGAAACAGCGAAATCCTTTTGATAACAGTTTGTCAGCGAAAACTCGAATTCAAAGCAGTAATAATTCCTGCCATGATGTGGCGCCGCGCCTGCGTTGTGCTTCTAATTCGTCGATGTTTTTCAAATTCGATATCTGCACCGTGGTTACGATCTCCTCCCACCTCGTGGACAAAATACGACCCCCCCCCTCATTGGTGCCACTACCGGGATACGGTTGCCCCTGTGTGTCCATGTCTGTTCCTTCAACTGTCTGCCTTTCTGTGCATGTCTGCGCCTGCCCGTCCCTCTGTACCCGTCCATCTACCTATTTCTTTGCGTGTCTATCAGGACGTTACCCACCTTTCCTATCTATCCGCTTTCGTTGATGGGTTGGTTGAAAATCTGTCCAGAAATGTAAATTAAAATTGCTGCTTTATATATATATGAAAGCTATAGATTGTTGTGGTCCAAGGAATGGGAAGGGATCAAGAAGAGGGAAAAAGACAGGGAAAATAAGTCACGTTAGTGGGTGGGACGCAGTAGGGAGATCGTCCAGAAAAAATAAGAGTGAAATAGAAGGGATTAGATGTTAAAAGCGGGGCTAGGAGTGAAACAAGGAGGTCCGAGAGAGGAGTGAGGTGGTTATGAAAGGCAAAGCCACTTGCCACTACACCACTTCCGCCCCAACTTCTCCTTTAGTGTAGGGAGTCTCGATACAACCCCTCACCGCCACCATCAGCCTTAGAGTCTCCCAATTAATGAGTAAACAAATTATCTGGTAAATCTTCCATTTATCACTTCATGCTACTTTCGTACGTTGTGCGCGATAGCGGGCGGAGCAAAACTGGTATAGTATATGCACTATTCACTTAAGCAGACTACACACTTACATTGTATGGCATCACTCAACATCAGCATCAAATGCATCTCAAAATGCAAGGACATCGATTTTTGGGGTTAACCAGCCATTACTGATTTTGAAGCTG